GACTGTTCATTGTTGGTGTTGGGTTCATCTAAGAAGAAATGGCTGTCAAGCCACCCACTGGGCTTGTGGATGGAACCAGTAAGTGGAAACAGTGGCCTTTCTGTCACCCATAAAGCCACTTGTGACAGTGACTCAATCCTTCGGTAACGAGGAGGGGAAAATAGCAAGCTCCTCCCTGCCAGGATGGCTTCTAACAGGGGCGTAGGCGCTGCACCCTTGCTGACTGCCCGGGCTCCTCAAGCAGCTTCCCCCTGCTGCGTCGCCATCTCCCACCCTTGGAAGGACTTATCTAAGTGGCTGGACTTCGTCTTCTTCCCAGGGAGGAATCGATTATTCTAAGGGGGTCATATTCTGCAGGGTAGGGAAAACAGTCCGTCTTTAGATACCACCAAGGTTTGTGTTCACAGGAGGATTTGCAGGATTAAGTGACCTTTACTGTGGAATGCAAAACTACTTATTTGTATATTCTCCACAGCCACCCTATGAGGTATGCGCTGTTGTTTCTCCCGAGCTAGATGAGTCATCTGAGGCCCAAAGAGGTCTGGTAACTTGCTCAAGAACACATGATAAAAGACTTAGCAGGAGATTTAAACCACGTAGTCTTGCGTCATAGCCTGTGTTCTCAAATAGTATCTACCGTGCTCATTTTGATGAGTGAGTGCTATCCATCCACCCATGTATTGCCGGACTCACCTCTCCACCCACTCTTTCACCCCTCACCCATCTATCCAGTCTTCTGTCTGTTTATTTATCCTTTTATTCACCTCTGATTCGACTACCCTCCCATCAGTTCATCTGTTTACCAACCATCCATTTTCTCATCTATCCATCCATCCACCCACCCACCCACAAACCTATTTATTCCTTGTGTTGACTGTTTGTCCAGCCTGGTTTTCTGCATCATGTTGGGAGCCAAGCATATGCTTTCGGAAGCTGGAGACCCCATGTCAACACAAATCCCTTAGCTCCCAAGAAATCTGGGCCTTGGGAATGCTGCTGTTTCAGGCAGGACAGGGGGCTTGTTCACTGTCCTCCCTCCATAAACCTGTGGAGGTTCTCCCCCTTCAACCTCCTCCAAATGTGCAATGGTGCAGACTCTTCCAGAAACACTCTCAATTTTAAGCATTATCATCAATGAATACTTGGCTAGCCCCATTCCTTGACCCAAAGATCGGAAGTGGGATTAGTTTAGTATGACTTTACTTTTTAAAAACTGTTAGAGTTTGTGTGATACTTCTAAAAACTATGTAACAGATCTAAAACAGATGTTCACAGGGCATTTTAAAGGGAAAGAAATGTTAATAGAAGCAGGCCAGTTTGATTTGAGATAACTCAGTTAAGGAAACAGTTAAACTTGTCTCTGAAGAAGCAGTATAATGAGGAGGCAGTATGGCTTGGCTGTTTACACACTTATTAAGTGCAAAGCAATGCAAGTCATTTAGTTACTTTGCATACCTTCTGTTGTGGTAGACAATCTCAGTTTTGAAAATTTGTTTTTATTGCGGCAAAATTAAACATAAACATTTAAACATGTAAATAATGAACAGTCATATAATGAGCTTCCATGTACCTATGACCCACCTCCAGCAATTACCAACGATAACTGTACCCACTTTTCCCTCTCATATTATTTTTTCTTTTTGTAAGTTTTGAGAGTGTAGTCCTTACTTATTGCTAATGTCATTAGGTCAAAATTCCATTCTAGAAAACTGTGTTATGTTGACATTGAAATATAATGAACTTTTGAATGTAATTGTTTAAATTTTCATTCAATTTTTGACTTTTTGAGGTAGAGCATTGGAATTTTCTGTCATTTCTTTACAATAAAAAATTTAAAGCCAAAGCAAAGCTGAAAGTTTAATATGTGAACCCCCATATACCCTTCACCTAAATACACTGGTTATTAGCATTAGGACTGGCATTTTCCTAGGTGTGTTTTTCCATGGTACTACTCGAAGATGGGGGAAATTTTCTTTTTTTTTAAATATATTTTATTGAATATGCTATTACAGTTGTCCCATTTTCCCCCTTCACTCCCCTCCACCCTGCACACCCCCTTCCACCCACATTCCCACCCTTTGGTTCATGTCCATGGGTCATACATATAAGTTCTTTGGCTTCTACATTTCCTATACTATTCTTACCCTCCCCCTGTCTATTTTCTACCTACTATTTATGCTACTTATTCTCTTTATCTTTTCTCCCTCCCTCCCCCCCATTCCCTTGTTGATAACCCTCCATGTGATCTCCATTTCTGTGTTTCTGTTCCTCTTCTAGTTGTTTGCTTAGTTTGCTTTTGTTTTTGTTTTAGGTGTGGTTGTTGATAATTGTGAGCTTGCTGTCATTTTACTGTTCATTTTTTTATCTTCTTTTTCTTAGATAAATCCCTTTAATGTTTCATATAATAAGGGCTTGGTGATGATGAACTCCTTTAACTTGACTTTATCTGAGAAGCACTTTATCTGCCCTTCTATTCTAAATGATAGCTTTGCTGGATAGAGCAGTCCTGGATGTAGGTCCTTGCTGTTCATGACTTAGAATCCTTCTTTCCAGCCCCTTCTTGCCTGTAAGGTGTCTTTTGAGAAATCAGCTGAGAGTCTTATGGGAACTCCTTTGTAGGCAACTGTCTCCTTTTCTCTTGCTGCTTGTGGTGTTCTCTCCTTAATTTTAATCTTGGGTAATGTAATTATGATGTGCCTTGGTGTTTTTCTCCTTGGGTCCAACTTCCTTGGGACTCTCTGAGCTTCCTGGAATTCTTGGAAGTCTATTTCCTTTGCCAGATTAGGGAAGCTTTCCTTTATTACTTGTTCAGATAACTTTTCCACTTGTTGCTCTTCCTCCTCTCCTTCTGGTACCCCTATAATTTGAATGTTGGAGTGTTTAAAGATGTCCTGGAGGTTCCTTAGCTTCTCCTCATTTTTTTGAATTCTTGTTTCTTCATTCTTTTCTGGTCGGATGTTTCTTTCTTCCTTCTGGTCCACACCATTGATTTGAATCCCAGTTTTATTCCCACCACTATTGGTTCCCTGCACATTTTTCTTTATTTCACTTAGCATAGCCTTCATTTTTTTCATCTAATTTGTGACCAAATTCAACCAATTCTGTGAGCATCCTGATTACTGGTGTTTTGAACTGTGCACCTGATAGGTTGGCTATCTATTCATCTCTTAGTTGTATTTTTTTCTGGAGCTTTGATCTGTTCATTTATTTGGGCCATTTTTCTGTCTTGTCATGCCTGTTACATATAAGGGGCAGAGCCTTAGATGTTCACCAGGGTGGGGTAACCCATGTCACTGGGTTATGATGCTGTCTGTGGGGAAGGGGTCCAAGAGGTAACAGTTGGTAACATTCCAACTTGCTCCACTCTCTGCCAGATTTCAGTCACTTCCCCAGCTTCCCACAAGCAAATTGGGCCCTTCTGGTGCTGATTCCCAGGTGGGTGGGTTTGTGTACATTCTAGGACCCTGTGGGTCTCTCCAACAAACTCTCCTGTAAGGCTGGGAGTTTCTCCTGCCTCTGCCTCAACCCCCACGGGTGTTTTCAATCAGTGGTTTGAGGCTTTATTTCCCCGTGCTGGGACCCTGGGTTGTGGGTCTGTCTCGCTCCCCAGTTGTTCCTCCCGGTTTATCTGTGCACAAATGTGGGATCACCCACTCCACAATCCGCTGCCTCACTGGGTCCACCATCGCCATCTTACCTATCAAGGTCCTCCAGCCGTGTCTTGCTGAGAGTCCTCTCCACTTGTCCATCTGCGCCCCTCCTACTGGTCTGGATGAGTGTGTCTTCTTTAACTCTTGGTTGTTGGACTTCCATACAGTTTGATTTTCTGTCAGTTCTGGTTGTTTTTTGTTTTAAAATTGTTTTTGTCCTTCTTTTGGTTGTGCAAGGAGGCACAGTGTGTCTACCTACACCTCCATCTTGGCTGTAAGTCTCGGGGCATTTTCTTGTATGTGAAGGTACAAAGACAATAGCACGTGGCTTTCCAACCAGATGGATTTGGGTTCAGATCTCACCCCCACCACCTCTTAGCCTTGCATTGTAGGCAACTGGCCTCATCCTCAGGCCCTTACTCTATCAAATGGGAGTCATAGTGGTGTACACCCCATGGGGTTATGCAAGGCACATAATGGGATCTCTACCAATATTACCTTGCCTCATAGTTACTTTGCCTCACAGCCCCTGTGTTACAGCTTGGGGCTCAGAAGGGGGGGAAATTGGGCTGCATCATTCAAGTCATTTTTGACCAGTAGGAACAATTTTGTCATGAGAGAGGCTATGGCCTAAGGGTGAAGAAAAATCTTGGGGGAGAATGGTTCCAATCCCAGCTCTGCCCTTACCAGCTTGGAGCTTGGTTGATTGCTTTAATCTCTCTGAGCCCAAGTTTCCTCCCTGTAAAGTGGGGATGGAAAGATTATTTACTGCATCAGGGTGTTGTCAGGGGGAAAGGAAACGGGGACATTCATGCCCAGCATTTAGTAGAATGTCTGCCTCATGTGTGCCCAGTGGATGTTACTAGTCATTAGTATTATTTAAAGTAAGGATACATCAGCATGGTGCCTACCATGTAAGTGCTCAATAAATGTTATTACATATTATTATTATTATCATTGTAAGTAGGGGTGAAAAACCAACACCAACTTGGTCTTTACAAGTCTGGTTCTACTTTGGTGCAATGACAAGAATAAAGATCTTTAGTGAAAATTTGCAGTGTGATTTCAAGCAAGAGTAAGCCTTGGATGGACAGACAGACAGATGCCACCAGCCAGGCATAGCATCACAAAGTCATCTTGGGAAATGACTGTGTTCCTTGGCTTCCATTTAGTGATGTCCTGAAATAAACCAGCCATCTCGAATGCTCCTAGAAGAGTCCTGCACAGTGAACAGCTCGTCCCATGGCCAGGGTGGTGCTTCTGTCCTGGGGGCTTTGTGCTGATCTCGTTGTCTGGGACTGACTTTTTTCCTTTCTTTCACTCTTTTCTGACTTTTGCCTTGTATCCCAGGTGGAAAGGATCGTAGACAAGAGGAAGAACAAGAAAGGAAAATGGGAGTATCTAATCCGATGGAAAGGCTACGGGAGCACGGAGGACACGTGGGAGCCGGAGCACCACCTGCTGCACTGTGAGGAGTTCATCGACGAGTTCAATGGGCTGCACGTGGCCAAGGACAAGCGGATCAAGTCCGGGAAGCAGGTCAGCACCTCCAAGCTCCTGCGTGACAGCCGAGGCCCATCAGTGGAGAAACTCGCCACCAGACCTTCAGAATCTGGAAAGAGCAAAAGCGCTTCTCATAAACGGAAGCGAATCAACCCTTCCCTGTCCAAGCCCAAGAAAGGGTACCCAGCCAAGCCCCCTGCGGGAGGAGACCGGGCCGCCAAGACAGTGTCTTACAGGACTACCCCCAGTGGTTTGCAAATAATGCCCCTGAAAAAGACTCAGAATGGGATGGAAAATGGGGACACCGGATCCGAGAAGGACGAGAGGCAGTTTGGAAACGGGTCCCACCAGCCTGGCTTGGATTTGAATGACGTCGGAGAGCAAGACCTGGGCGAGTGTGATGTCAGCCATGCAGCACTGGCAGAGAATGGGCTCGGTACGTGGCTTGTCTTTCTCTTGCATCTGGCTCTGGCCATGGTGGATGGGGGGCTTTATGTGAAGCCTAGGGAGATAACATAAGACTCCCACCTCACCCCTGACTCTTAGCTAGGCTGTAATTCTCCTTTTGTCTCTCTCACCTAGGGCCATATGGACTTGGCCATGTGCCTACATTGGTTACAGACACCCATTCATGCGGGAGGGCGGGTGAGCCACTGATGCTCCAGCCAAGGCCTGGGATGGGTCCAAAACTCCTGACTGCACTTGAAAGCACCCAAGGGCATGGTAACCACCCTAGAACTTCTCCTGTGAGCGCAGCTCAAAGTCCTCACCCACCACGATCCAAGACTCATGTCCCCAGAGGGCCGGTGCCTTTTGGGGGCAGTGCGCACCTCTCAGAGCCCTTGCCTTCAGTCTCCTGGGCTGCCCCCCTCAAAGCCACACAACTAAGTCACTGACACCCTTGCGTCTGCCTAGATCTCCACACCCCAGTTCGGGTAGCTGACTCCTCGGCCGGGAGTGAGCTCGGCAGCGTGGGATGACGAGGAGACCAGAGGGTGGAGCTGCTGCGTCCCCCATGCTGATGCCTTACGGAGGCGAGGTCTGGGTTGAGGTCCCGCCCTCCTCAGACCCAGTCTGGACTTGGAAGTCTCCTCACCCATGTGTAAGCTGGAGCCTCTTGCCCCTCACCTGCAGCTAACATGCCTGATGTGGCCCCATGTCTTTGTTAGGTCCTAAATGCTGCCCTGTCCCCATCCTGTGCTAATTCTTTTGGTTGGCACTACCTCCTTACTCCATCCTGGAAGCAACAGAGCAAAGATGATAGAATTCCTCCCCCTGAGCAAGTCCCCACAGGCAAAATTAAGGAGAGAGGAAGCAATGACCCAGGTAATTCAAGCCCCCAACCCTGACATTTGTCCTGCAGTCATATTGCTCCTTGACTGAGTCCTTGTGGCCGAATCTCCCAGGTTGGCTGTCTGCACCCTGTGTGCACTCCCCCATTTCTTGGATACCTGTGTGGTATTACTTGGGTACGCGGTTGCATTTTTCTCTTGAGCTGCTGGAACCCTGAGTCTTGGGACGTCAGGAAATCCTGCATGTGTGGAACACCTGTCCCCAGTAGAGGAGGGGCATCGATGGAACCTGGGTGCTTGCAGGAACAGGGATGCCCAGCTGCCGGGGAATGGGCTGGAAGAGCTCCCGGGAGGGCTGGGGTGACGGGCAACTGCGCAGGACAGTGACTGTGCTTTCAGAGTTCTGAGTGCTCTGAGCGCCTCCCGCTGTGCGGAACCTTGCTGGGGAATCTGAGCAATCCGCTTTGAGGTTCCTCTTTCTCCAAAGAGGAATTTCACCCAGACAGGATTTATTTAGCAGTCTCTGCCCCAGATTGATTCCCGTTTCCGTCTGGGGATCCCTGATGCCGACATGAGTCTGCCTGCTACCATATGTAAACGCTGTTTGTTTTAAAAATTCATCTCTCCGGGAGGAGGAGTGGGCTTGTGTAAATGAGGCCTGGCACAAACACCCGTGTTTGACGCTTCTGTGACAACTTCTGGCAGTAGAGGGACTCCCTGTCTTGGGGAGGGTGGCTGGCTTGGGGAGCTCCTGAGGCTCCTGGGGTGCAGGGGAAGATACCTGGGCATCACTCCCTGTACGCTGGCTGGTAGAAGCGCCCTGTCCTGCTCAAAATGTGGCTGCGGAGTGAGAGGAGAGGCCTGAGGGAGGGTGGTTTGCTCCCTTTGCCGCCGGGCTGCAGCCTGAAGGAGAGAAGCAGAGGAGAAGTCTGGATGAAGGTGCACCTCTTGCTCCCTGCAGCTTTCCAAAGTGGGGCAGCACTGCCCGCCGCTTGCTCTGCATCCTGGGGGCCTTTCTGGAGGGCACCCCCCCCAGTTCATGATCTGATGATGGGGCATGCTACCCCACAGTGGGCGAAGTAGGCAAGGGCAAGCCTGCTTGGATCCGTGGTGTCCTCACTCACTTCCCACCTTAGTTGCAGAACGCTTCTCCAGACCTTTCTCATCTCTAATCTCTTGTTGGTCTCATTTTTTCCCGCGTTCTTTACTCTGCTCAGACCCATGCCTGTGTGGAGAGGAGGAAGCTGCCTGTCTCTGTTTTGGGTGTTCCTGAAGGTCCCTTGTTTAATCACATCCCATAGTATTGGGGTCCTCAGGTTAAAGCAGTGGTTCTCAGGTTGCCCTTGTGTGAGACTACCTGGCACCCTGTTAAAAATGTAGCTCTCGTAGAGTTGGATTTCCTGCATCTGGGGTGGCATCTGGGGTGGAGCTCATAAGATGGGTTTTTAACAAGCACCCTGGGTGACTGTAGTGCATTTTGAGACATGCACTGTGGCAATATGGGAGTGACAGTTAAGTTTTACATCCAGTGCCAATTTAAATCAATTCTTTTTTTTTTAAACTTCCTAAGGGTTAGTCACCATGTTAGCTGCTTGAAGTCACATAATCAAAAAGATAGGTGAAGACTGATGCCTCTGAATCTTAAAATGTATTCTCCAATAAGTTCAGAGTGGATATCTCTAGGTCAGTGTTGAGAAAACTCCCAAGGATGGCTCATTAGAAGGAGTAACACATATGTTATATACATAGCACGCCTTTGCCATACCCACCCTGACATCTTCTGTGGTCACAGGGATGATCATTGCCCCAAACCCTGTCAGCTTTTAACACTCTAGTTAGAACTAGCTTACTATTCAGGTCTTGGGGTGACTGGAGAGAAGAAAAGACTGAGAATCTTTTCCAGAGAGAGAAACAGAGATTTGGGGTTCTTGGACAAGACCCAAACAGAGGGCACTTTGTGATTCTAGAAGTTTTCAGCAAGGAGTCAGAGGTGTAGTCAATTCAAGCACATGGTTCCGCTTAGAGGGGAGCCTTGATGAGGCCAGTGTCAGTGCTGATTTGGAGCCCTGAAGGCCCCCCACCCCCACCCCGGTCCATGACCACTTTTACCAAAGGATGCCGTTCCCAGCGGCACAAGGGTTTTCAGCACTGAGGAGGGCTCCGCTTTGCCTGGCAGAAGGCGGATGGGGAGATCCTGGCTACACTTCCCCAGCATTTGTTTGGGGGGTGGCTGTTGCTTTTTATATGATTTTAACTTCTCTTTGGTGGATCAAGGTTCTGCATACAGAAAAGCAACTTATGTAACATGTTACTCATTTACTGCTGACTTCCCTGATCTGTGCTGTGGGAACAAGTGCTAAATCAGGGCCCCAGAGGGTGTGTTTTGGTTTCAGACTGCATTTCCCCAGCAGTGTGCGTGGAGTGTATGTAGCAGCCCAGTCCTGCTCTTGATTCCCATTCTTCCTCCATCATGACAAATGGCCCTGTGGTCCGGGACCATCTGCCTCAGTATCCCTCGGGGAGCTTGTTAAAAATGGGAACCACCCCAGATGAATGAATCAGATCTCAGGAGACAGGGTGGGGGTTATGCATTTTAAGTGCTGCATTTTAGCTGCTATGGGTGTACATGTCCAGTAGTTCCTGGGGACGGATGGTTGTAAGCAATGGTTCATAGATCTGTTGGGGATAGATCCAGAGTTACTCCTTGGATTTTCACCTTGTGAATAGGAATGTGATTTGGTCCTTCAAAGCTTTAAAACCTGACATAATTTCTCCTTGCTAATGCACTTTCTCCCAGGCTTCCCTTTTTATTCTAAAACAGAGCAGTTTCATCTGTGTGGGAAAGCTTTTGGTTAGCTTACGCCTGCGGTCTGGTTTGGGAACACTGGTTAGTGCTGTCTTGTCTAAATAGGCCAAAGCACCAACCCTTTAGAGACCCAGGTGAGCCTTTACCCTATGGAAACATCCCTAACTAGCAGCCACCGTGTCCCTCCGAACCCCAGCATAACACACAGATGCACAGCATTCTCCGAGTTTGCATGGAGTCAGTGAGTTTCCACTGTTGATGCTGATTTGATTTTTTTTCAAATTTTTATTTATTGATTTTAAGGAGAGAGAGGAAGGGGGAGAAGAGAGAGAGAGAGAGACATATCAGTTTGTTGTTCTACTTATTTATGCCTTCATTGGTTGATTCTCCTTAGTGCCCTGACTGGGGATCGAACCCTCAACCTTGGCGAATCAGGATGACACTCTAACCAGCTGAGCTGCCTGGCCAGGGCCATTTCTTTGAATTTTGAGTCTCCCAGGCACTGCATCCCAGACACTGACTTGTGTTTCTGAATTGCTTCTGTCACTGAATGAGTCAGCCCACACCAACGCACAGCATTTGCCATGTTCTCTCTATTGATCTTTTAAAATGATCTCAGCTTTCACTTCTATAATGTTTGTTTATCTCTTCTCCTCTACTCACTCCTTCAACATGATTATCGTTTTTTCCTTTCTTGAACATGATGGAGTTGCCATGTTTTCAAGGCACTTCGGAGCTGAACGCAAGCATGGGAAATGCCCTGTGACTTTTAAGAACCTAGGGCTCTCAGACACGCAGCCAGCGCCAGAGTCCCCTGGAGAGCATGTTAGAACACAGATTACTGAAACTGAAAAATAAAACACAACAAGAAAACAAACAAAAACCCCACACAGAGTGCTGTGCCAACCCCAGAGTTTCTGACTCTGGAGGTTTGGAGGAGAGCCCGAGAATCTGCATTTCTAGCAAGTTCCCAGATGCTTCCAGAACCACTGCTCTAGCCCAGTAAGTACCAAGGTGGTTGAGACAAAAAGGGCAGATGGTGGTTGAGGACACCCATTGGCGGCATTGGGGCCGTTTGAAGAGCCTTTGTTCTGGACCTTGAGTTTGCATTCTTGAGAATTTACAAATTGAAAGTCTGAGAGTATGGGAACTTCCCAGTAATGAGGCCTTGGGGTTTACAAAGTACTTTTTGTGATCTTCATCAAAGTGCTGGGTGGTAGCTGTTGATACACCCATTTACTAGAGGAGGAGACTGCGGTTACAGATGCTCAGGTTGGAAAGAGAAGAGAAATCCAGGCAGCTCAACTCCGGGGCTGGCCTCTGCTTCAGTGCCCAGCC